TCTCCGGGTTTAAGAACAGACAATTTATTCTTCTATTATTTCTTTGCTTTCTGGATTGTTCTTAGTCTTATTGGGGAAAATAATCAATGCAGTTTTCATCAATGGTTCTATGCATGCTAAAATGTGTTCAGTTGAAGGTTTAGACATACCTTTACTCCTCCAGCAGTCTGATGGCACATTTAAATCCCAAAAGGGATATCTGTCTAAGTTTTATGCAACTGTTCTCTTCATGTTCTGGAAACTCCTGCTTTTTAAGCTTATTGCTTATACCATGATGATCCTTAAGTTCATGGTCTTCCCTTAGCCTTTCCATATTTCTTCTCGGGAACTTGGTACTACAATACTGTTGCCCTTACTCGGATGCTATGGCCTTGACATTGTATTTAGCTATTGCTTCTCTGTCATGCTAGATGGAGGGCTTCTACTTAAGGCTAGATTATAGCCTTTCCTCAGTCTATACTCTGATTTGAGCCACAGACCACTGTTAAACCTGTCTAGAGTCTTACAACTCTCAGAGAGTTCTATTCAGGAAGGAGGTAGGATATGGGGTCACTTGGGACCTACACCATCCAGTTACCATCTAGCTCCCTCACAAGCTTCACTCCACCAGTTTCCTTCAATAACCCTTTAACTATGCCTCCTTTCCCAGAGGGCAGAGGGTGGGTCCCCATATGTGACTATGGAGGATTGGCTAGGCATGCTTCTTCCTAAATGATTATATTTGTCAAAGATTGGTAAAGTCTACTGTGAAGCTCAAAAAAAAAAAAAACCAAGATAAACCCTCTTCATTATTTTTTCCTTTCTTTATAGTATATTATGAGGGCAGAATTCATACTGTTTCCTTAGAGGTAGAGGAAGGTAATGGATCCAAGGAAAGACAGGTCGGCAAAGCAAGCAAACAAGCATCTTTATTGATATCTTGAAACTGTCTCCCACTACAGTTGCAGAGAATATAGATATGGTGCTTACCGCATGGTACATTTAACGATGTGTACCTGTGTTTCATAATCTTGAAAATGCCAGCTGAATTTGTATAAGGAGTAAACAGAAGTTAGGACAGATTTTTAAAAGTACATTGTCCCACTTGGTATCTGAGTGATCACTGGATCTCCCTCCAGTTTGATTGTCTTGCAGTTTTTCTAGCTTATTAATGGTAACACAATTCTTCCAAGTTCTAATGCTGAGAACCTTGATGTCTTCCTTACGCACTTTCTTTTTCACTCCATATCCAATTTGTCAGCAAATTCTGTTGGCCCTACCTTCAAAGTAGATCAAGATTCTGTGTATTTTTTTTAACTACATCATCTACTACCATGCTAATCTATGTGGCATCATCTCTCCTGGGGTTAGTTCCAGTAGCCTACCAAATGGTCTTTGTGGGTTCAGCCTTTTAAAATCAGTTTTCTACTCCACAGCGTGATCCTACTAAAACTTATTAGTTCATGTTATTCCTGTGTTCAAAATGACTTCCCATCTAAGTCAGAGGAAAAGCCAAATCCTTACTATGGACTGCAGGGCTTTCTACAACGCGCTGTCTTTTCACCATTATTTAATTTCCTCTCCTGGGATAACCCGTTTTCCTCATTCAGCTTAAGCCACACTAACCTCCTGGCTGTGTTTCAAACATACCAGCCTTGCTCTCGCCTCAAGGACTTTTTAATTGCTCTAAATGTTTGCCCCTCCAAATTTGATGTTGAAATATGATCCCCAGTGTTGGAGGTGGGACTAGTGGGAGACTCTGGGTCATGAAGGCAGATCCCTCAAGAATGACTTGGTGCCATCCTGTGGTAACGAGTGAGTTCTCACTCTATTAGTTCACACGAGAGCTGGTTGTTCAAAAGACCCTGGCATCTCTATCGCTGTCTTGCCATGTGACACACCTGCTCCCCATTCACCTTCCCACATGATTCTGTTTCCTGAGCCCTCACCAGAAGCAGGTGCTGCTACCATGCTTCCTGTATAGCCATGAGCCAAATAAACCCCTTTTCTGTGTAAATTACCCTACCTCAGGTATGTCTTTATAGCAACACAAAATGGACTAAGACAACCACTTTTTATGATTCACATTTTATTTATTATCTATGTCTTCCCATTAGAATGAAAGCTTCATGAGGGCAGTTATATTGTTATGGCTTCTCCACCACAAAATTCCTAGCCCTAAGATGAGTGTTTGACACACTATAGACCTTCAGGAAATATCTGTTGAACAGACGAACAAATGACCAGGTTATAACTAACTGCCATACTATATGGATTTATCAATAACAAGCAGAAGCAGACAAGCTTTTTGGGCAGGGTTTGCATTCATACACATGTTTTAGGAGTTTTGTAATGTGAACCTGTGTTCACATTAGATTAGAAGAATAAGAAAGTAGAGGTTTGAAGATTAGTTAGGCTGAACAAGAAAAGGCAATGGTCTAAATTGAAATGGTTACAGTGGGACCTGGTGTGGGGGTTGTTTGTTGTGTGACAGTCAGAGGAAGAAACCCTGCTATCTGATAATTTCAAGAGTAGAAGATTTCGGAATAGAAGTAGAGAAAGGTACAAAGGTGAGTTTTAGTTCTATTTTTTTTTTTTGAGAGAATGTAGTAAAAATAACAGTAATGAAGATAGGATAATTTAGGAAGAAAAAGCCATCTGAAAGGGAAAAATGTAGATGACTTTGTTTTGTTTTTAAATTTAAAAAGTTTTTTGGTACTGTTTACAATTTTGTATATGTACAGTTCAGTGGCATTATATGAATTCACATTGTTGTGCAACCATCATGACTGGCCGTCGATCTTTAAAATATTTTAATTTTCTCATACTGAAACACTGCATCAATTAAACAGTAACTCCTCATTCCCTGCTCCCTCTAGACCCTGGCAACCACCATTCCACTTTCTGTCTCTATGAATTTGACTATTCTAGATACTTGTATAAGTGGAATCATACAGCATTTGTTCATTTGTGTTTGTTTTATTTCAGTTAGCAAATAGCTTCACAGTTCATCTATATTGTAGCATGTGTCAGAATTACATTCCTTTAAGCTGAATATTCCATTGTATGTACTGTATGTACCACATTTGTTATCTATGCATTGTTGATGGACATGGACATTAGGTTTTCACCTTTTGGTTTTTGCAAATGATGCTGCTATGAACATTGGTACACAAATTTCTGTTTGAGTCCCTCCTTTCACTTCTTTTGAGTAAACAGCCAGCAATAGAATTGCTGGATCCTTTGGTAATTTTATGTGTAATAATTTGAAGAACTGACATACTGACTTTGGTTTTAGACACACCGTGTTTGAGGTGGTGGACATTATAGCAGCTGGGACGCTAGGACAGGAGCTTGGGTGAAAGCAATTATAGCCAGAGATTTCACTTCAGAAAACCTGAAAAATGGGATGGTTGAAGAGGTGAGAATTAATTAGTTTATAGGAGAAGAAAGAAAAGGGTTGATCCTAGAGCTGAGATGGAGGAAGAAGGAGCTAGTAGAGCCAGTCAATGGGATAGAAAAGAAGCAATCAGAGTTAGGAATAGAACCCCAAGTGTTGATATACACTTAGTTCCCAAGTGTTGATATACACTTAGTTCAAACTCATCCATATTCATTGAGCACTCTTACAAGAACTTCCTTTCAGATGAATAAATGTCTATTTAAGAATGATATTACTTTCAAGGGTATGGGTGTTGTAGGTCACAAATCACTACTGAATGTTGAATTTCTGAGACACAAATGCTTTTCAAAAACATCCTAGAAACAGTAAATCAGCAGAGAATTTCCATATTCCTTATTTGGTTGTTCTCCATTTCTTGTTTTGCTTTAGTAATTTCCAGTTTCTTTGTTTTCTCCACCTTTTATTGAAGTATGGTATACATTAAGAAAAGTATACAAACCAAGTGTGCACAACTCAATGAATTCTCAGATATTGCACATACCAGAGTAACCAACCCCCAGATCAAGAAACAGTATCGTACTCACCCCAGTGATTCACTTCATTCTCCCACTTAATCCCCAAGACCCTTTCTAGCACTGTAGATTAATTTTGCTGTTTTAAACTTTATGTAAGTCAAATCATGTAGTATGCCCTATTTGTGTCTGGATACTTTAATTAAATATTGTGTTCATGAAATACAGTATTTACCTATACTGTTGTGGGTTGTCGTAGTGTATTTTCATTGTGTGCTTTTACACAATTTACTTATTCCTTCTCATATCAGTGGGCATCAGTGTAGTTTCAAGTTTAGGGCTATTATGAATAATACCACTGTCAACATCATGAGTGTCTTATCAAAATGGGAATTTTGCATATTATATTCACCTCTTTAAAACGGCCATTGCTTACTTAAGTGGCTTTTCTGCCAAGTGCCTTCCCACCCTACTTAATTATCTTCTTTATTAATACAAAATATATTTTCTTTAGTATTACTTTTGAACGTATGAAGTACCCCAGGGAATTGGGCTTCTTAAAGAAAAAAACCTATATCTAGTTGTATTAAAATTTTCTGTTTAAAGCAGTTATTTCAATTTTTCTCAGCCATCCAGATTAGTCTGGACAGTCTTAAATGCACATAAACCTGTCAAAATTCTTCTTCTTTTAATGAGGTGAATTGTTCAACCTTGAAACAAATATTTTAATTTTGGCACCATAGTGAGTTGGAGAAAAAAATAGCTCTCATATACTTAATGCAGATTTGTTATCAAACATAGTATTTACACAGTAATAAAAGGAAACTGAGATAACAAAAAGTACATTGTGATATTTTATCCATTGTTTTCTTTTTAGACAACAGTCTGCTTTGGTATAAAGATGAATATTAGTAATTGAAGCTTGATGAGAAATTTTATCAATCTGGCTATTTCATAATTAAGTTGAAATCTGCTATGTTTAATAAAGATGTGTAATATATTTTATATGTTTGTATTGTGTATGCATGTGTATATGTATATATATATATATATATTTGTCTCTTTATCTGTCAATATACTCATTGAAACATTTTAATGATTTACAGAAAGAACAATAGAAGATCATGAACTGGTGATTGAAGTGCTATCCAGCTGGGGGATAGAAGAAGAAAACAAGCTATACTTTAGAAAAAATTATGCCAAATATGAGTTCTTTAAAAACCCAGTGGTAAGTGAAATCCCCATTAATAATTATGGAAAATAAATGAATCAGTTAAATTTTTTGCGAAGATGAGAGTCACTATATATTAAATACAGTCCTATTTGGTAGCTTGTAGATGAAGACTCTGGTCCTTTAAAATTATACCCACATTTCTTATGCTGATAATGATTAGTGAACATTATGCACTGAAGTTCAGATATACAGGTATAAAACTTTTTAAAGCCATACTGGTAAAGTCTGAACTGAGATGAGTTTGATTATTTAATTTAAAAGTATTAGGAAACCTAGTATTGCCTTTTTTGAAAGGGAAACAATTATCCATTTGATGTGGGAAATGAATCTTTATACGTTCTTATACACATTAAGGACAAGTGTTAAGCAAAATATTATACCTTAACGCTTTCTACAGAATTTAGGAAATTTAAATAGACTGTCTAAAGGAAAAAGCAGACTGATGATTGTTGAGAGTATTGTAACGTAGCCAGAAATTAAGATTGACCTGAATCTTGCTGTACCAAATTATTTTGTTTTCAGTGTAGTAATTTTTGAACTAAGTAGAAATGAGATAAATACCAGTGCATTATCTAGTAAATACTACTCTTATTGTAGTTCTCTTTAAAAGAAAATAAATGTATGTCACATTCTAATGAAGACTAGGGATCTAGAAAAGTCAGAATAGCCTCTGGGCTCATTATTTTAAATTGTTTTTGTCTCTGCAGCTGCCGCATATTTTTACACTAAGTTTTGGATGATAATTAGATTGAAATGATTCTTTATGAAAAATATATGATACAAACCATAATAGAATATTTTCAAAAGACCCTGAAAGACCTCTCACGTTCTCTTTTATCTTAACCTACTAATAGAAACATAATGGGATGATCTTTGGCAAAGAAAATTAGTCATAATAAAAATTAAATAAATTAGAATGTGAAGGGAAAGTGTTTTTGTGTTGTGAGTCTTCATTAAAAACAAGAATTTAAAACAATATTTTAAAGAAATATTGTTCAGTGCTCATTTTTATTTTATTTTTTATTTAAACAAGGCTGGACATTTGTTTTGTAGACCTGTTGCAGTGGTTCTTAACTGGTGGGGTGATATTGACAATGTCTGGAGAAATTTTTGGTTGTCACAACTGGTGGTGAGGGGCAGGAGGGCTGCTAGTGAACAGAAGCTAGGAGTGCTCTAATGCTCTAAACATCTATAATGTTCAGGAGAGCCCCCTCAATACGGAAGTATTACACCAAAATGTTAGTAGAACTGCTGTTGAAAACCCTGTCCTAGAGGACATATAATATATTTTCCCAAACTTGTCAAATCACAAAATTTACCTAGAAGAGAGTGCTTATTTAAAACACAGAATCCAGGACCTGCCTGGACCTAGTGAATCAGAAACTCCAGGAATGAGGCCTGGGAAATCCTATTTTAAACAACTGCCTGAGGTAAATTTTATGATTACAAAGTTTGGGAAAATGGTAGGTAGAAAGAACTGGACTTTTAGCTCCCCAGCTCAGTTTAAATCCTGACCTCCACAGCATTGTGGGCTGTGACCTTGGGCATACCCTAAACTCTGTACTTCTATGAGCCTTATCTTTGTAAAATGGGATCGATAGTCCTTTTGTACCTGGTAGGCAGGACTCAGGAAGAAGATGTGGGAACAAGCATATTGTCAACTTCAGGGCAGTGTTTATTACTCCAGATACCTGAATCCATCCACATCAGCATTATCCGGGTGCATTTGCTAATCTCTGCACCCAAATCCAGACATTCTCATTAAGATACCTGTGAGTAGAGTCTAAGGATGGGCCTTTTCAGAAGCACTTTGGGTCAATTTTAGATACACTAGTTTAAAGAACTTTTGCTTTTGATTACTATATTGGTCATAATTGAATCTTTTCTAGAAGGAGTTTTGTGATGATTTAACCTGTATCTTTTTGACAGTATTTTTTTCCAGAGCATATGGTATCTTTTGCAACTGAAACCAATGGTGAAATATCCCCCACACAGATTTTGCAGGTAAAATATATATTCATTAAATATATAAGTAATAGCACAATGAAGGAAAACTTTTAAGTCCTTTTCTATACATGCCCAGATTTTGAAAATTTATGCTTTGAATGATTATTAACATTTTTTTTTTTGCTGTAGGTAAAACTAAAAAAAAAAAAAAAAAAAAAAAAAAAAAAAGCACTCAGGTAAAGAATGCCCTAAATCAATAAAGCTCTCTAACAATATTTTTCCTCCCAGGTTTAGCCAATTGTTAAAGGATTTTACATATTTTAAAATGTGTGTCTTAAAAGGACATTTGCAATTTTGTTCTGTGATGTATGTAAAGATTCTGTTAGTTTTTAGAAAAATCAAAATTCTTCATCAAATATAGATATTTTACCAATAGATACTTAGTACTAGCTTTCATAATAAATACCCTCAATCCTATTTGTAATAAAATATTTAGAAAATAAATGAAAGGATATAAAAGATACAGAATGCAAATGTATACATAGCATTTGTAATAGCTGTGATGGAAATTCTTGCATAGAATTGTGAAATATTCTTGGCTGAATTAAGAATACTAGTTATCTAATGAAAAATCTCCTTAATTTTGTATCTATCAGACTCATTTCTTCCACACTGGCAGTGGCTTGAAATTGTTATTTTCAAAGACATTGTTGTTACAATAAATGAATGATTTCAGTTATTTTCTTTAATTTTTGATAGGTTTGTAGCTTTACATCAGAAGCGCTACAGTTGTTTTTCACAGGTTAATGTTGAGCAATGTCTTTATAATGGTTGCTGTTTGAGCTAAGCCCCATGCATCCCCAAACCCACTTAGTATTCCCTGATCTTTAATGAAGACAACTTTTATTATTTCCAATATTGCTTGACCTTAACAATATTAGGTTGGCATGTCTATCATGGATTTGTTTTCTGTGGGATTTTTAATAGGTTATATTTCATTTTTGTGCTTCAGAATATTTTTGAAACATGATTAGTCTCCAGAGATTTTTCTAAAAGCTGCTTCTGTGCTGCTGGGTTTTTACAGAGACACCCCGTCAAAATGTTAGGTAAATGGCAGCAGCAGCTGTGCCCCAGGACTTTTAGATCTCAGCCCTCTGAATGCTTCACCACTGTATTACAACACAGTGGTGGGATGGAGTTTTTATTCCACCTCCTTTTGCAAGTCTTCCTATAGCACAGTTCTATTGCTTTAATGTTAAATTATAAAAACAAGAAAAATCATAGGCTTTGGAATCAGATAGTCCTGCATGTGCCCCTGACCTCTTCTCTCCACTGAGGCAATGTTTCCACTTTTTAAAAGGTTTCTTCTTTTTCTAATGTGACCTCTATGACTCTCTTTTTAAAATTTAATTGGTTTGGTTTAATAACTTGGAAAGCACTCAAACTAAAAAACCTACTTGCCTGTTTTGCATGTCAATTAATTAATATCTGTGGCTCATTAAATTAAATTTCTCTTAGTAATTTACTTTAAAAAACATAAATATCTACTATCAGTATTTCCTTGAGTAGCCTTTTAAAATGTGTTACATTATTTTCGTTAATAAATTCCCTTACTTTCAATTTTTTCCCATTTGTTTATTCAGAGGGATTTTTCTTTTCTTTTCTTTTCTTTTTTTTTAATGAGACACTAATGCATTTCCACTGTCTTATTAAGGATGCTGAGCACAACCACTCAGTTGAGCTATTCCTTTTCATTCTCATTTTCTTGACTAACACATGCCCACTGTCTCAGTTAATTATTACCACATAACAAACTATTCCAAGCCTTTATGGTTTAAAGTACCCATTTACATTTTGCCAACAATTTTGTGGGACAGGCATCTAGGAAGTGTTTAGCTGGGTGGGTAATCTCCGAGGCATATTGACTCAGTGCTGGGGACTGAGGGTCCCCTTCTAAGAGCTTTTTGACTGCATGTTTTTTGATACTGCTTGGTGTCTCTCTCTCCCTGTCCCCCCGCTTTCACTCTCTCTCTCTCTCTCTCTCTCTCTCTCTCTCTCTGACTGTCTCATGGTATCTCATCCTGTAGGGCTTTTCCAGTTGCATTGGGTTTCTTACCTGCGATGGTCTCAGTGTAGTCACATTTCTTACGTGACAGCTGGCTTCCAAAGGTCAAGTGACCAAAAGCACCAGGCTAATTAGGGACTATACCTAGAACTAGCAAAGGGCCACTTCCACTATATTCTATGGGTCAAAGCAATGACAGGCTTGCTTGCATTCAAGGGGGTAGAGAAAGACTCCATCATTTTGTGGCTCAGTGGCAAGGCGACATTGCAAAAGAGGATGTGGGATGGAAAACATTGTTACAGTCCTCTTCGGAAAACATAACCTGCCACATCCACCCACAACTAAGAACTGTAGATGACAAAGAAACAATAGTTTTGTTTGCTTTATTCTTCTCAAGGAGGTGAACTTGGCTCAACTTCCTGCTTCACAATAGAAGTCAGGATTGTGGTCTTACTTATACCATAATGAGGTTAATAGGCAAACCTGTAATCTCAGGGAAAACCGTGGAAAAGGATGAAAAGTGTATCAGGACTTAACTCTGTAGATGACTTCCAACTTTTCGAATGGACATTCAATTAGCTTATAATTTTGGTAGTTAGATAACTAAGTACTATCACTTAGAATGTATATTTTGTGAATTCATTTTCACTTGAAGAGTCTCAGGTTTTTGAAAGACTGATTTATTTTCTGTTTTATGTATGTGTGTATACACACACGCGGAGACAGAAAGAGAGAGAGGGAGAGAGATGGAGAGAAAGAGAGATACACCAAGGACTATCAAAGCACATGCAGTATACACACACAGTAATTACTGTAATGTTGTATGTTATGATCCTGTTTGACTTTTACATGTTTATATTTAAAATTTTAACATGATTAATATAAGGTGACCACATCATTGATTCAATCATAGTATGAAAATATATAAATTTTCTTTCAGATGTTTCTCAGTTCAAGTACATATCCTGAAATTCATGGCTTCTTACATGCGAAGGAACAGGGAAAGAAGTCTTGGAAAAAAGTTTACTTTTTTCTAAGAAGGTCTGGCTTATATTTTTCTACTAAAGGGACATCAAAGGTAAATTGAAGTATCCATGATGTGTTATAAATGACATATTAGCTGTAAGTTAAAACATGTCTGCTTTGTTGTATTTATTACTTTATTACTTGATGTTAAAGGTTGGTCTTAATTTTTTTGATTTAAAACATTTGCCCTGACCTGTTTGAACACTAATTACTCGGCTTTACTTCACACTGGTTTCAACATAATATCTTTGATGGAGTCTGGGTGCTCTTATTTCAGCACAACATGTATTACTACTTTTTCCTCACTCTGAATTCACTCCTTGGCTACAGAGTTTGCAGCCCAATATAGTATATACCTTTTCTTTTTTTCCTCAGATCATGCTGCTAATCTTATCTACTTCTGAACTCCTGTTGATCAACATCAACAGAACAGTTAATAATAAAATAGTTAATAAAAGGACTCATCTGGGTCACTTATTGCTCTTTTATTATTGATTGATGGATTTATTTGAATAGGTTTTTAAGGAATAGGTTGTATTTGGTTACATGAATAAGTTCTTGAGTGGTGACTTGTGAGAGTTTGGTGCACCCATCACCTGAGCAGAGTACACTGTACTCATTGTGTGGCCTTTTATCCTTCACTCCCCTACCATCCTTTCCCGGAGTCCCCAAAGTCCATTCTATCATTCTTATTCCTTTGCATTCTCATAGCTTAGCTCCCACTTATGGGTGAGAACACACAAATTTTTGTTTTTCCATTCCTGAGTTACTTCACTTAGAATAATGGTCTCCAGTTCCATCCAGGTTCCTGGGAATGCCATTATTTCATTCCTTTTTATGGCTGAGTACTATTCCATGATATCTATCTATCTATCTATCTATCACAATTTCTTTATTCACTCGACTGATGGACATTTGGGCTAGTTCCATATTTTTGCAGTTGTGAATTGTGCTGCTATAAACATGCATGTACAAGTATCTTTTTCATATAATGAACCTCTAGGAAGATACCCAGTAGTGGGATTGCTGGATCAAAAGGTAGTTCTACTTTAGTTCTTTAAGGAATCTCCACATTGTTTTCCATAGGGGTTGTACTAGTTTACATTCCCACCAACAGCATAAAAGTGTTCTCTTTTCACCACATCCACACCAACATCTATTATTGTTTGATTTTTTTGTTGTTGTTGTTATGGCCATTGTTGTAGGAGTAAGGTGGCATTACACTGTGATTTTGATTTGCATTCCCTTGATCATTAGTGACGTTGAGTGTTTTTTTCATATGTTTGTTGGCCATTTGTATATCTTCCTTTGAGAATTGTCTATTCATGTCCTTAGCCTAATTTTTGACAGGATTGTTTGTTTTATTCTTGCTACTTTGTTTGAGTTCATTGTAGATTCTGTATATTAGTCTTTTGTCACATGTATACATTGCAAATATTTTCTCATAATCTGTGGGTTGCCTGTTTATTCTGCTGATTGTTTCTTTTGCTGTGCAGAAGCTTTTTAGTTTAATTAAGTTCCATCTATTTATCTTTGTTTTTGTTCCATTTGTTTTTGGGTTCTTAGTCCAGAAGTCTTTGCCTAAGCCAATATCTAGAAGGGATTTTTTGGATGTTATCTTAGAATCTTTTGTGGTTTCAGGTCGTAGAGTTAAGCCTTTGATCTATCTTGAGTTGATTTTTGTATAACATCAGAGAGAAGGATCCAGTTTCATTCGTCTATATGTGACTTCTCAATTATCCCAGCACCATTTGTTGACTGGGGTGTCCTTTTTTCCATTTTTTTGGTTTGCTTTGTCAAAGACCAGTTGGCTGTAATATCTGGCTTTATTTCTGTGTTATCTATTCTGTTACATTTGCCTATGTGCCTATTTTTATACCAATACCTTGCTATTTTGGTGACTATGGCCTTATACTATAATTTGAAGTCAGGTAAAGTGATGCCTCCAGGTTTGTTCTGTTTGCTTAGTCTTGCTTTGGCTATGCAGGCTCTTTTTTGGTTCCATATAAATTCTAGTATTGTTTTTTCTAGTTCTGTGAAGAATGATGATGGTATTTTGATGAGAATTGCATTGAATTTATAAATTTCCTTTGGCAGTATGGTCATTTTCACAATATTGATTCTACCTATCCATGAGCATGAACTGTGTTTCCATTTGTTTGTGTCATCTATGATTTCATTCAGCAATGTTTTGTAATTTTTTTGGTAGACTCCTTTCACCTCCTTGTTTAGGTATATTCCTAAGTATTTTATTTTATTTTACAGCTACTGCAAAAGGGGTTGAGTTCTTGATTTGATTCTCTGCTTGGTCACTCTTTGTGTATAACAAATCAACTGATTTGTGTACATTAATTTTGTATCCTGAAACTTTTCTTAATTCATTTATCAGTTCTAAGAGTTTTTTGGGGGAATCATTAGGGTTTCCTAGGTATACGATTAGATCATCAGTAAACAATAACAGTTTGACTTCCTCTTTACTAGTTTAGATGTGCTTTATTTCTTTTTCTTGTCTGATTGCTCTGGCTAGGACTTCCAGTACTATGTTGAATAGAACTGGTGAGAATGAGCATCCTTTTCTTGTTTCAGTTCTTGGAGGGGATGCTTTCAGCCTTTCCCCATTCAGTATAATGTTGGCTGTGGATTTGTCATAGATGGCTTTTATTACTTTAAGGTATGTCCCTTCTATGCTCATTTTGCTGAGTTTTTTTTTTTTTTTTNTTTTTTTTTCCTTTTTTGAGATGGAGTTTTGCTCTGTGACCAAGCTGGAGTGCAGTGGCATGATCCTGGCTCACTGCAACCTCTGACTCCTGGGTTCAAGTGATTCCCCTGCCTCAGCCTCCTGAGTAGCTGGGACTACAGGTATGTGCCACCACGCCCAGCTAATTTTTTAGTAGCGATGGGGTTTCCCCATGTTGGCCAGGATGGTCTCGATCTCCTGACCTTGTGTTCCACCCACCTCAGTCTCCCAAAGTGCTAGGATTATAGGCGTGAGCCACAGAACCCCACCATTGCTGAGATTTTTAATCATAAAGGTTACTGGATTTTTGCCTAATGCTTTTTCTGGATCTATTGCGATGATCATGTGAGTTTGTTTTTAATTCTGTTTATGTGGTGTATCACATTTAATGACTTGCCTATATTAAATTATCCCTCCATCTCTGATATAAAACCCACTTGATCATGGTAGATTATCTTTTCAACATGCTGTTGGATTTGGTTAGCTAGTATTTGTTAAGGATTTTTGCATCTATGTTCTTCAGGGATATTGGTCTGTAGTTTTCTTTTCTTGTTATGTCCTTTCCTGGTTTTGGTATTAGGGTAATACTGGCTTCATAGAATGATTTAGAGATGATTCCCTCTTTCTTTATCTTGTGGAATAATGTCAACAGGATTGGTACCAATTCTTCTTTGAATGGCTGATAGAATTTAGGTGTGATTCTGTCTGGTCCTGGACTTTTTTTTGTTGGTAATTTCTTTTATTATCATTTCAATCTTACTGCTTGTTATTGGCTTGTTCGGAATTTCTGTGTCTACCTGCTTTAATCTAGGAGGGTTGTATCTTTCCAGAAATTTATACACCTTCTCTAGGTTTTATAGTTTATGTGCATAAAGGTGTTCATAGTAACCTCGAATGATGTTTTGTATTTCTCTGGTATTGGTTGTAATATTTTCTGTTTCATTTTTAACTGAGCTTATTTGGATCCTCTTGCTTCTTTTATTGGTTAATCTTGATTAATGGTCAATCAATTTTATTTATCTTTACAAAGAACCAGCTTTTTGTTTCATTTATCTTTTGTATTGTTTTATTTGTTTCAATTTCATTTAATTCTTCTCTGATTTTGTTATTTCTTTTCTCCTGCTGAGTTTGGGTTTGGTTTGTTCTTGTTTCTCTAGTTCCTTGAGGTGTGACCTTAGATTGCTTATTTGTGCTATTTTAGACTTTTTGATGTAAGCTTTTAAGGCTATGAACTTTCCTCTTAGCATTGCCTTTGCTGTATCCCAGATGTATTGATAGGTTGTGTCACTATTATTGTTCAGTTCAAACAATTTTTTAAAATTTACATCTTGATTTCATTGTTGACCTAATATTTCCATGTATTTGCACGATTTTGAGGTTTCCTTTTGGACTTGATTTCCAGTTTTATTGTACTGTGTTCTGAGAGGTTACTTGAAATAATTTCAGTTTTTAAAAAATTTATTGAGACTTGTTTTGTGGCCTGTCATATGGTCTTATCTTGGAGAATGTTCCATGTGCTGATGAATAGAATGTATATTATGCAGTTGTTGGGTAGAATGTTCTGTAAATATCTGTTAAGTCAATTTGTTTTAAGATATGGTTTAAAACCATTGCTTCTTTGTTGACCTTCTGTCTTAATGACCTGTCTAGTGCTGTTAATGGAATATTAAAATCCCCACTAGTATTGTGTTGCTGTCTATCTCATTTCTTTATGTCTAGTAGAATTGTTTTACAAATTTGGAAGCTCCAGGATTAGGTGCATATATATTTAGGATTGTGATATTTTCCTACTGGACAATTCCCTTTATCGTGATGTAATGTCCCTCTTTGTCTTTTTTAACTGCTGTTGCTTTAAAGTCTGTTTTGTCTGGTATAAGAATAGCTATTCCTGCTATCTTTTGGTGTCCATTTGCATTGAATGTTTTTTCCACCCCTTTACCTTAAGTTTATGTGAGTCCTTAAGTGTGTTAAGTGTTACGGGAGTCTCTTGAAGATAACAGATACTTGGTTGGTGAATTCTTATTTATTCTTCCATTCTTTATCTTTTAAGTGGAACATTTAGGCTATTTACAGTCAATGTTAGTATTGAGATGTGAGGTACTGAGGTACTATTCTATTCATTGTGCTATTTGTTGCCTGAATACCTTGTTTCTTGTTTCATTGTGTTTTTGTTTTATAGGTCCTGTGAGCTGTGAGATTTATTCTTTTTTTTTTTTTTATGGTGATATGATTTGGCTGTGTCCTCACCCAAATCTCATCTTAAAATGTAGTGTCATAATTCCCACGTGCTGTGTGTGAAAACTAGTGGGAGATAA